TAATGGAAGGATTGTTAGATCATCATCATTCCGGGCACTTGGCGGGAGGGAATGAGTATGGTGCTGCAAGGATCTGCATTTGGACCACTGTGTTAAACTTACAAATGTTTCTGAAAAAGGGGTGAACAGGGACTAATCCAAAATTAACTGCAGAGAGTTACAAAGGGATCTCACAAACCTGGGTGCACAGAACTGCAGATGTGTTGTCTCATCTGCAAGACAAAGGCAGATGAGAGTCAGTGTTAAGTGCAAAGTAATGCACATGGAAAAATATAACCCTAATTATAGATACAAAGTGGCTGTTACCACTCAAGAAAAAGATCTTGGAATCATTGTGGATAATTCCCTGAAAACATCTGCTCAATGTGCAGTGGCAGTCTAAAACTGAAAAAGCGAACAGAATATTGGGAATCATTAGGAATGGAATAGATGAGACAAAATACCATGTCGTCTCTATAGAAAGTCATGGTGTGCCCACATCCTGAATACTACTGCATGCAGATCTGGTCACCCCATCTAAAAAAAGATGTATTGGATTTGGAAAAGGTACAGAAAGGGCAACAGAAGTGATTAGGGATAAGGAACAGCTTCTGTATGAGGAGAGATTAACAAGACTGGGACTTTTCAGCTTGGAAAAGAAATGACTAAAGGGTGGGGGGAATATGTTAGATGTCTAGAAAATCACGAATTCTGTGGAAAAATAAGAATAAGGAAATGTTATTCATTCCTTCACTAGCATAACACAAGAAGCTGAGCCAATTACAGTTATAGGCAGCAGATTTTAAACAAAATATTTTTTCACAGTCAACTTGTGAAACTCTTTGCCGGGATGTTGGTAGGAAAGCGCGAAGTGCAACAGGGTCCCAGTTAGAACAAAACAAGTTCAAGGAGGTCAGATCCATCAATGGCTACTAGCCAGAATGGGCAGGGATGATGTCCCTTGCCTCTGTGTATCAGGGCTGGAATGGCTGACAGGGGAGGGATCGCTTGATGTTTCCCTGTTCTGTTAATTCCCTCTGGGGCATCTGGCATTGGCCACTGTTGGAAGACAGGAAACTGGGCTAGAAGGACTTTTGGTCTGACCCAGTATGGTCATTCTGATAAACTTATATAGGGCTGAAACGTATCTGCCCCCTGCTGCACCCAATAGATTCCATTCCCCTTCCAGAGCTGAGATAGAGCCCAGGAGTCCATATGGGGTCTCTCTCTCTCTCTCCACGGAGTTAGAAACAAAGTAAGACTACACATTCAAATGTTAAGGCTAACCCGTGTCCCTTAAATGACTTGCCGCAAGATGTCAGAATATGTTACAGTTAGAGCTGAGAGGATCTAATATTTATTTAATTTTCTTTCTTTTCTATAGGAATTAGATACAGTGCTCCAGGCAGCTAACTGCTAAGAATAGTGATAGAAATGTAGCCGTGTTAGTCTGGTGTAGCTGAAACAAAAAACAGGACTATGTAGCACTTTAACAAGATGGTTTAATACGTGATGAGCTTTCGTGGGCCAGACCCACTTCCTAACTGCTAAGTTGGCTGTTAAAAAAAATAGAGTTTTCTAGAGCCTTGGTAGCTCCTGGATAGAGATGATGCCTGTGTGCGTGTGAGGTCAGATTGGGTTTGTTCCCTCCCCCTCTCCCTATTTGGTGCTTGACTTGTACTGAGCATGCTCAGTAACACTGCTGAAACCTCTGTCCTCAGTCTGCCTTCCCACCCCATTTCCACTCTCTCCCCCCCATCACGGCATGCACAGATGCCCCCCCCCCCACATACCAAAATCTGAAATGGGTTCCCAGAGCAGAAGGCAGCAGGTCCACACCCCCTTGCCAATGCTGAGTGGCCATGTCAGACAGCAGTTTGCCTCTAGATGAGGACTGGCAGTGGGGCACTGAGGCAAGGTGGGCAGAGGGGCTGTGGGGCACTGCTAGGGGGCAGTACCTGGCGGTAAGGGTCATGGGTCCTAACACAAGGTGGCAGAGCCATTAACAGGTAATAGGCTGATGCCAGCCGGAAGGGGGTGCACCAGTGCTGAGCAGCACTAATGTCCAGCCCGCCATGTTACAAGGGGTTGGTGGTAAGAGGGGCACAGGATGGGGATGCAGGGGTTGGGGAGCCCACGGGTGCCATTTTCCCTAAGGCCGGCCCTGCAGCAGTGATCCCTGAGGGGAAGCTGCTCCACTCACCCTGCACACCTAGGCCGGGTGGCTGTGCCCATGGAAACCAAATTGGCTCCTGCCGTCGTTTTCCCTACGTCCTCACGAGAAGTCAGGGGAGAGCTCGTTCCCACCTTGCTCCCCCCGCAAAATGCCCCCGCACTTAGCAGTAAAAATGGAATATCCGTAATAAGGGAGCCCTGGAATATGTTCTGAGAAAGAACCTAACCGGGAGGTATGTTCTCTCATGTAGCCCACACGATGGAAAAACGACCCCTCTGCGATGCCTGCTCTGAAGCCCAGATGTTCAGACAAAGGTCCTTCTAGCCCAGTGTCCTGTCTTCCAGCAGTGGCCAGTGCCAGATGCCCTAGAGGGAGGGAACAGAACAGGGAATCATCAAGTGATCCCTCCCCTGTCACCCATTTCCAGCCTCTGACAAACAGAGACTAGGGGCACCATTCCTACCCATCCTGGCTAATAACCATTGATGGACCTCCATGAATTTATCTAGTCCTGTGAAAGTCCTGGTCTTCACAACATCCTCTGGCAAGGAGTTCCGCAGGTTGGCTGTGTGAAGAAAATCTCCCTTTTATTTGTTTTAAACCTGCTACCTATTAATTTCATTTCATGACCTTTAGTTCTCAAGGGTGGCTCGTCCATCTAGGTGAACTAGTCAGTCGCCTAGGGTGCCAAGCTAAATGGGGCACCAAATGGTGGCGCTATATCATTGAGGGGTTTGGAGGTGGAGGCGCCGATTGCATGATTTGCCTAGGCGCCAGTTGCCGGCAGCTTGTCTAAGGCCGCCCCTGTAAATAGTTCTTATTTTACGGGAATAAGTAAATAACTTTTCCTTATTCTCTTTCTCCACACTGGTCATGATTTTATGAGTCACGCTGTCTGAAGGACGCCAAATTGATTTACACAATAATGTCCTCCATGCTAGCTGGGCTCTGGGGAAGAAATAATTCATTAAAACGGAGTTGCACCAGGTGGGGAACTGCAGCATGAAATTCCTCCCAGAACTAAATACATCCACCCCTGGAAGCTACCAATTCTTTGCTCGTCTGCTAAGGGCATGTTTGCAATCAGGCGCGCAGACCGGGCCAGCTGCACGAGGCACCTGCTTTGTTATGCTTAGGGCCAAGCCTGGGTGTCTTTGAGAAGATGTAGCATTAGCGTTTTCCCAATCACCCGGCAAACCGACCCTCAGAATTCCTGAATTGAAAGAGCCGTTGGCGGGGCGCAGGGTCTGGCTTGACCGCATCCCTCTTCCCATACCAACACTGATGCGACTGTTCTCTAGATGTACACACAGCAGGCAGACCATGATGGAGGTGAGGGGCAGTTGCCCCCGGGCCCAGTGATTAAAAGGGCACTGCTATTGTGACAGCCACAGTGGAAGCAGCCGGAACCTCAGGTCCTTTAAATTGCCGCTGGAGCGCCATGTGACTCTGGGGGCTGGGGGGCAGCCCAGCACCATGCTCTGGGTGGCATGGAGAGCTGGCTGTCCCTACCCCTTCTGGGAGTGCAACGCTGTCCCCTCCTTTTACCCAGCAGCCCGCGGAGGCTGTCGGCTCCCCGGACTGCAGGCTGCCGTGTGGTGTCCATTCAAGAGAAGTCGACTTTTGCTGAACAAAGACACCCTCCTCTCAAGTCCTGTATGTTCGTGTGGTCAGACTGCCCCCTCCCCCCGCAAACCGTCCACACTAGCGTGTGTGTCAAAGCTCAAAGAGGAGCCGAGGCCTGGCAGCCGCTCTCTGTCCCATGGCATCTCTGGAGGAGGCTCTATCTTTGTCACCCAGTGTGGTGTCTTTCAGTCTTCACACAAGCAACCAGAGGAAGTATGGCCCCAGCCTGGTCTCTTTCCTTGAACTTTGTTAAAGGCAAAGCATGAGATAAATGGCTGACCTCCGTTGTGTGGGGAACTCTATAGGTATCTTGGAATCGACTCCATGGGAGCTCCGGGCCTTTAGCACCCACAGGAAAATATGGTGGGTGCAGAGCATCCATCGGCAGACCTCCTATGAACCCTCCTCCTCCTCACAGTGTTTCCCATCCACCAGCAGTCCCCCTGAACCAGCAAGGGCAGGCCTCTCTCTCCCAGCACCTCCTGCCCACTGACACCAGATGTTCACAGTGGTGCTGGGGAGGAGGGAGGAAACAAGAGTGCTTGGGGGAGGGGTGGAATGGGGTAGGAGAAGGGGGGGTGGGGGCAGAAAGAGAGGGGGTGAAGGT